GATAATTTCCTATACTATAAAAATGCCATCCGGTAAATGAAAGTCTCGTCAGCTTGGTTTTATAAACGTAGTACATGGAACACATCCTGTCGTTACACTATTCACTTATTAACAGCAGTTCAGTTTTTGTATCTCTTAGGAAGGTAACAGATCATTTAATGAACGAAATGGGTAAAGAATATTATGATTCGCTTTTAGATCGAATTAAAGCAGTAGTTTATTTGTTGTTATTTATCGATTAAAACTGTCAAAATATCAACACCTCTCATCGATTTTTATTTTATTCGCTGTTGAAACTTTCTCCTAGAAATGCAAAGCACTTGCATGTGTATTAGGAGTCACTGCCGGTTCATACTTAATCGATTTAGTGTACATTGTGCCCGGAAATCATGAATACTTACTTCGACTCATGTGAATCTTCTACCTTTCATCACATTATAACCCATCGGGAGGTCAAAGATTTTCCGTGTTTACTATCAGGCAAACTCCGTGCTATCAGGAAACTAACAGGACCCAGTATGAAAACGAAATAACCATTGTTTCATTTTTGGTAAACAGGTTTGTTCCTGTTGATGCGTGAATTATACAAATCAGTGACACCAAATTTTACATTCAGTTTCATGATGAGGTATAACGAGATCTCTCAATTATATTGTAATTTTCGAGATATTGCAGAAAGTAGTGCATGTAGCTTTTGATTTTTATCACAAAAAACTTGAAAATGTTCCATAATTCACTGTGTGAGGTTAACAACTATAGACATTCATTATGTATCACAGCTGCAATTACAACCCAAGGAAGTGATAACCCTTGGATGAAATCTGTAAGTAAATTTACCTTTCTGGTGGCCCACTCCAAAAGTCCAGAATACAGACAAATAGCTTGATTTAGATTGTCGGAAACCTACTCACGTACAGTGGAGAAGCGTGATCTTTAAGAAATGCCAAATAACGAATAAAAATGCTTTTTGTTACTTACCTTCACTTCAACAATTGTGACAATGTCCGCGATTTACTATGCATGATTGCCATTCAGGGATCCCCGCTCGAGATGACCGACGGGAACGGCTGGACTCCCCTGCTTCTTGCCGCGGTGAAGGGCTCGTTCCAAGCTTGCATTAGTCTCCTCCGATTAGGAGCCAATCCTAATGCACACGACTTGAGCAATCGAAACCTCGTGCACTTGCTAATGCTATTTCGTGGTCCCGGTGTGCGTACGGTACTTCCAGAAGTGAATGATGTGAGTCAGTTGGACAATGTTTTTATGTGGCTACCACAAGATTGTCGCCTTGTTTAAGCAACTTCATTTTAATACGTGCTTATGCAATTAACCAAACTAAATAGAAGAACAGTTGGCTAATACAGAGATCAGCTATAGTGAGCTGCTGAACATTTGCTAATGCCTATAACTGACATATTTATCTGACTGAGGTAGAGTCCTACTGGTAACTCTTATAGTCGCCTTCGACTGGTTATGTGGTGGATTTTATGGACACAGCGAGAAACACACCGGCCCAACCGGTATATTCATGTAGCGGTGGTGATGCTTCGAACTTTGCAGGTTGTAAGTTCTCTTGTGTATAGTGACCGCCTATTCTGAAATGCACTTTTTTCGATTCACGTTAAACTACCCTGAAGACGCATTGATTATGCTGATCGTGCACTTCGAAACTAGGGCATTCAACTAAGAGCTTTCATTGTTTTAGTTTCGTTTTAATTCAGCGTGTTTTCGAGCCATTATAATCATGTTTGCCGGTGAATTTAGAGAGGTTATCTGACGTTCATCGTCAATAGGAAAAAAATAGATGATGCTCTGCAGTGGCAGTACCAGCAAAATTGATTTCGAATACAAGGATCAAGCAAGTACATCACTTGACGGCCTAAATGAATGGGGGAAATAGAAAAAGGGAGAAGAGGAATGCCAAAATTTATTACATCATCGATGCACAATCGAAATTTCACACGAGTTAATTACAAATGTAAAACTATTGATTTTCGAAAACACTCAACAGTTTCTCTGCTTTTGTGGACAACATTCTGATTTTGGCAACTAATAAATTTATCAGTCTTTAAATCTTATCGATGCTACGAAGAAAACTGATTTGAAGCGCTTCGAAGGATGTTTAGTGCTGAATTACACCTTGATCAATTATTTCATGATGCACAAAATTTACTCAGCACACTCCCATTCATTTCACATTTCTCGTAATTGTATTGTACCAGGATCATAAAAATGCATTGACGTTCTCATCACTCATACATAAACCCAAACTAAGACTGAGAAAAATCATTTGTGCTGCGAATAATTTGTCTGGGTTAGTTGGAGGCTTTTAGCCTACCCACCTCCAAACCGCTTCCTCTGACCGAACGAATCAAGGACTACTTGGTGATCACAACTAAATTACACCATTCGGTAAGATTCTGAATCGTTTTGATTTGGAATTTGTACTACTCAGTGAGGATTATGGACTTAATTCACAGATAACCCCAAAATTATTCCATTTGCATAGGCTCACCGAGTTAGTAAGAACTCAACCACTTGAAGTGGGCTAGAAAGACAAGAGGTTTAGAGAGTCTCTCACTAATGCTTATAAGTTTGATAAAATTAACACGTTGCACTGACGTTAGAGGCTTTTATAGTCTCTTTCTCTTGCTAGAAAATCATAGAACCCGGCTGATTTGATGTAAACTTCTGATTTATGATCAATTGAACGGTTTATTTTGATAATTTTTAGTCGTGCTTTGCGGTCCACAAGGATAGCAATGTCAACGCTGTAAGCGCGGTGGATGTGGCTTGAAGAACTGAAACGTCGTTTGGTCGACACATACTGAGCTAATTATTGTTGATATCTATAACTGTGTATAGTAAAATGAATCATCACGTTATTGCAACTTGGACAGTGTTTCCTCACAATTCTGCGACTGCAAATGGTACCACGTATGGTGATAGCTTTCACCATCCCCGTCGAAGTTCATTGCGAAGCGTTTTCAGATAGAATTATGTGTATCAACTGCAGATGGGACTATGACGACCGCAGTTTTGTTTTTCTTTTTATAATTCCCACTCAAATCATCGTTTCTTCTCCGCTTGGAATAAAGCAGAACATCATGCACACCAAATGAGAAGCCGATTGTTTGTCCTTTGCATACCCAATTGTTTGTTGATGCTGATTTTTATTATTCATAATGGAAACTCACTTTTCTACACAAAAAGCGATGCAATTTGGAGCGGATTTCTATTGTCTGATTAACCTCTTTGATTTCACAGTCACCTAATTTAGTGACTCTCAATCTTTAAGAAGTTCTTTATTCTCACCCACCCAGCCCACGATTACAGCACATTCGAGTTCAAAGTACGTACTTATGACGTGTTATAACAATGCTGTCGTCCGGTACAAATGATAAGATTTGTCTATACGACCTGTGGTCAGTATGTTTAGTTCTGTTTGTTTCACTCTAAAGAATACTGCTCTTCCCTCAGGACGCAGTGACTTTTCTGGACTTTCATAACATTTCCATTTCAGGAAGACTTGTTTAAACGTTTGGTTAATGAGAAAGACAACCATGGCTCCACTCCTCTGCATTGGTCCACTCGAATGGGCAACCTAGGAGCAACCTCGGCCTTTGTTTTACGTGGTGCTTCAGCCTTGGAAAGAGATAATGATCGAGATACACCATTGCACACCGCGGCTTACTACGGTCGACTACACACGTGTGAAACACTTCTTGCCACTTCTCATGGAATGCGTGCCATGAACTCCCCAGATGCTCAAGGTCGTTTGCCGCTGCATGTGGCAGTCGAAAAAGGTCATGTGGAGTTGGTCAAGCTATTTCTGGACAAGGGTTGTGTATTTCGAAAGTAAATTGATTGTTTTGCTCGGATATTTGATGCAACGAACTTCTCACGAAATGGTTAGACCGTTTAGTACACCCTGAACACGCCTACTGTAAGTTAATATTCATCAGTGTGGCGTCAGTTCCCAGGCCATTGGATTATTCCTGGACGATCGTGCCTAGATCGCTGAAGTCCCAAATGACGATAAAATACGAGCGAATCAGAAAACTTATTTTCATTTAAGTCATCGATGAACGTTCAATATGACATGCACAGGAAAGCATGGACACATAAACCTGCTGCATGCGGATTACAGGGAATAAAGAAGCAAGACTGATTGGGTGAGTGAAGTGGACACACAAAAGTGGATGGAGGTAGAATGACTGGGTTGATGTGAAATCAGAAAAATTCATATCACTGGAAAACTTAATGACAACTGCGTAAGTAAACCTTATCATTTTTAAAACCTGATCTTTTGGCATGCTTGTGCAACGGATGAGTACTTGGCACATTTGAAAAAAAATATTCACAAAAGGTGATGTAGTCTAGTTTGATCTATGCAATATAATAAATAGCAATTAATGATAAGTGATTTAATTAATTTAGTCAACGTTGATAACTCAGTGGGTAAATACTTTGAACTTATTTGGCAATATACTTCAAAAGAAAAATCAAGCAAAAGCAGTAAATCTCGCCCCCATCATATCGGATCCACTTATCACTTGAGTGGGAATTGAATAGATCATTTATGCGTTGTTATTAAAAGGGGTGGAAAATTTTCGGGAACAACTCAGTCTACAAGACAAATAGCAATTTACTCAAGCTAACAGAAGTACAAGCAGGAGGTTGAGAAAATGTGTTGGAATAATGAATATCTACAATCGTGTGATCTATTTTGGATTTTTTTAATCACTGTTCATTGAGATTAACTGATCAAACGATTCCGAGATTAAATAACTAAGTGTCTACTCTTTTTTGTTAGTCGTGTGTACGTTTCAATCAACCCACCATATTTGTGCTATAGGCATACTCTTCCCTCTAAATCAACCGAAAGATTCCATGTTTCATAACAGAAATGATGAACCGTGCCGTGGTAGCTGTTCCGCTTACTTGTCATCCTCCATAAACTTTTGATGCGATTCTTATTGAAATATCTATTAAGCCCTTTATAGATGAAAAACATTGCATGAACGCATCTATGCCTAACTGATAAGAACAATTAGTTTCATGTTGTCAAAAGCACTGCCTGAGCCTCTCGAGTTTTTTAACAGGTTAGCGCTATTCCTTTATCCCGCGACCCGAATGAATTCAAGCAAATTTTCAGTTTGCTCAAGATGGTTTTACCTGTGGAAAGTTTTACTAATCAACCTATTGAGGGCAGATTGTATACGCTTACTTCATCATTGGGCCCCCAAATTGGAAGCCTCAACATGCGACCTGTTTGCTCCACTCGGGATAACCGCAAATCTGTATACATAAACATTTTAGAAAAGCAAAAAACAACTCGGTAATCTATTCACACTGAAATAAATCACACAAAGAAACACTATACACTGGTGAATCGACGTCGTCCCTTATTCGTTCTGCACAAATCATAAAATATATTTCAGCTAACGATTTCAGGTACTCGCTGTCTACTACGTGATCCAAGTGCTTACAGTCACAGGGAAACTGCCGGTGACACGTAGTAGGAGCTCGCCAAAATATTCCCATTCGCATATGTGTGAGATATTTCGACTCGGCCGAACTATCAAACCTCAATTTTAGAATTAATTATACATATAATATATATATATGTATATATATAGAGAGAGAGAGAAAGCAAATATCTAGTGGACATAGTCCGTTCTGGTTTAACTTTGGTAGTAAAACACGTCGGAAGGTTAGTATTCTTACTAGAATTTTTTTCTTTTGTCGCGGAGCAGTACTCAGCAATCAACTTTACTTGATGAATTGGAATTAACTTAACTTACACTTTTCCTTCTCAACTTTCTGATTCTGAAGATGTCATCTTGGTAACACTCCGCTGCACTATGTCGCGATTGGAGGATGCATCAGTACTTGTCGTCTTCTGCTTCAGACAAATCCATCTCTTTTGAACCAGTCCAATTTTCAAGGAGTACGTTTCTTCCTATTTCCTCTACCTCACCATGTTCCTCGGATAACCAGTAAAGTATCTAGTTCATATAAAATTCAGTCATTGAAAACCGATCAAACATTGTGTAATTTTTGTTCAATTTCATCTCTTACATGGTGTACGTTTTATTTAGATGACCGCATTGCATTATGCTGCCCGGGAGAACAATGCCGAAGTTTTGGAACACTTATTGACAGCAAAGGCTCTCGTGACAACAGACAAAGACGGGATGTACTTTGTGACGTATGCGCTTCAACGACGGAACCATGAAGTGATGAAAGTGATTGTCACCCATCCAAGGTAAATGCACTTGTTGTTCTGACGAATATCCAAAGTATCTTATTATAACACAGCCTTTGCTGGACGGTCAGTTTTAAGGTTGAAGTCATTCCAGTATGGTATAGTTCGGATCCGTACTGATGTTTAAGGATAATCACAAGACATTTAAACAGGCAAGTTAGAATTCAAACACTGCAAGAGGAATAACATTCGAGATAAATAAATAATGTCTTCTTAGTTTCTTTTTTGTTCATTAAGTATACAAATTTACAGTCAACTTTCAGAGAGGGGGCTGTCGCCATTCAAAAGCTGACTGGGTAAAAACAGAAAAAGGGAAGATGGGCGGCGGCAAAACGGTTCGAACCCAGGACTTCCGGGCCACAAAGGAGGTGAACCAAGAAAGATGAGTTGTGTTATACCGTGTAAATGGAAAATGAAAAATGGTCTGATCAGCTGTCCGGTGGCCGAGTGGGTAGCATGCTTGCGCCAATTTCTGGATTCATAACCGAAGCCGTAATGCAAAAGCTGGGGAGGAAAGAACCACCAAGAATTATGACAAAACCTTGGCTCCGATACGTTGATGACACATTCGTCATCTTGAAGAAGTCGGAACTAGAACGAACATACAACATTATCAATAACACATTCAATGGCATCAAGTGCATAATGGAGACCGAAAAGGTTATCAAAACTGGCATTTTGAACACCTTGATCAGCAGAACGCCATCAAGAAAACTAGAGACAATGGTCTACCGCAAGGCAACACAAACAGTTCAAATCCTAAACTTAAAAAGTAATCATCCACACAGTTACAAAAGATGCTCTGTACGAACCATGTTTGGAAAAATCCATCGCACTGCAGCACCGACATACTCAAAAAGAAAGACGAAAGATACCTCCTCAAAGTGTTTTCTCGCAATGGCTACTCCTGCACATTCATCAAAAAATTCTCGCTGAAGGAAAGAATGAAACAACAAACTGAGAATCGGGAACAAGAACGACCCTGCCGTACATCACGGCCATTTCGGAAATGACAATAAGACTGCTCAGATCATATGGAATCCAAGTCACCCACAAACCGATCGCCTATCTAAGGGGACTTCTGTCAAAACCCAATGAGAGAACAATGGAAAAGGACAGGAGCAGCATTATCTACAAAATAAACTTCAAGAACTGTTCAAAACACTTTATCGGACAAACTGGGAGAAAACTGTCAACAAGGATCCGTGACCACCAATCGGCAGTCAGGAGACATGACCCACTATCGTTGATTTCTCTTCACGAAGATCAGGCAGGACATCAATTTGACTTTGAATCAGTGAGAATTATCGACCAAGCACGGTCAAAACACGCCAGAGAATTCCTCGAGGCCTGGCGCTCTTCAATCAACTCAATAAACAGGCACATTGAACTGGATCACGTGTACACGCCAATGCAACAGAAGGACCAAATGACGCAACAAAAATAGGTCACGACGTCACCTAGGAACGGACGGAAACCGCGATCAGGACGAAAGGACAACCTCCTTCCCTCCCACTCTCACCCCATTGCACCAATTAAACGCGAACCGGGTTGAACAAAATTTGTATTGTATTGTGTATAACTTTTGCAAGCACTGGAGCTCACATTTCAGTTAAAAAATCATACACCCTAACCGTCACAATGTACATATTCAACGGGGAGAAAAGTTTTTGCA